CCTGACTGACTTCTTTCAATATAAGGCAATTTAAAACAAGTGCGATATAAAGAAAGACTGTTTAAAACATGCTATAAACTCTGAGTGTATACAAGGATACAATAAGCCTGAGATGTATATAGAAATACAATTGAACTGATGTATATAAAATACAATAATTTCTGTGTATGAAAATACAATAACTGCTGTGGGAGTTTCTCTAACCGACAACCATCACATAAGAGCTATAGTGATGATACAGCGATCGACCTCACGCTGCCAGAGCATCTTATACCCGGCCAAAGGTATAAGACCTGAACTGCCTAATGGATCCACTAGTCTAATCTGAAAAGGATTCATCTAAAAAGTATGATCCTTTTCTACCCATGGTGGCTAACATGGTTCTATGGGGGCTGTGGGTTCTTTGAACGCTCCCCCAATTCGGTGCTCGATACTACTCCCAAAAATGTACTGGCTCTTATGTTTTTAAAACATATTTATTCCTGCTGATATGAGATAATTACTCAAAAACTAGCCCGAAGGCTCTTTTGGAAATCTCAGTTTCCAACCTTGTTTAAATGTAAAAACATTTCTTTAAAACTTCTTTGGGAATACATAGTTCCCTAATAACTTTGAGAAATGAACTCAACTCTTTACTCTTTACTTTACTTGAAACTCGATACTTTGACTCAACTTGAAACTCTTTACTCAACTTGAAACTCTTAACTTGGAACTCTTCATTCTTTACTTAACTTGAGCCTTAAAATGAAGTTAAAACGATCAATGAAGACTCTTGGAAAACCTTAAAGACTTGTTTTGACTTACTTACTTCTAAGCTTGACTTCACTTGACTTGGAAACTAACTTCACTTGACTTTGAAACTAACTTCACTTGACTTTGAAACTAACTTCACTTGACTTGGAAACTAACTTCATTTGACTTTGAAACTAACTTCACTTGACTTGGAAACTAACTTCACTTGACTTGGAAACTAACTTCACTTGACTTGTAGTTTTACTTGACTTTTGGAAGTACCTTGGAGTGTTGGAAACAACTAGGAAACATAGGTATAATACCTAGGAACATGTATAAAAAAAGAAATGGTGAATGAAAGGGAAGGATTGGTGTCCTTGGCACTAGGAGAGGTGCAACAGCCCAGCCCCTTTTTCCCCAAAAATTCGACTTTTTCCCCTTGTTTCTTTCCAATTCTAAACCCTCTCAACCTCAAGGTTTCAGCAGCAACACTTAGAATCATAAAGACCCTTATTATACAATAGATTCAACTCAAAAATCACAGCCAGAAATCTGTACTAAATCAGCAAGAACTTCAACACAACACCACTACAACTTCAACAACCAATAAATCTTCTCTTGGAATTAAAAACGAGTTGGTGTGTGGGGGTATGAACCAACCAACACTAAGGATCATAAAATCCCTCAATATACAATAGGTCACAACTCAAATACACAGCCCAATCCTGTCCCACAACCAACAATAACTTCAACAACACAACTAACAACATCAACAACAACTAACAACTTCAACAACAAATCCAATCTCTTCTCAAATCATAAAAACGAGCTTGGTATGTGGGGGGAAAGGATAAACCCACACTAAAGACTCACATACCTGATTAGGGATCACCCCCGACAAAAATCCACGACGATCCTTAGCTTCTTCTTCTCTTTCTCCTCTTCTTTTCCTCTTCTTTCTCTCTTATCTTCCAAGCCCTAACTCTCACTCTTACTCTCACTCTTTAAAATGGGACAAAAATGATCCAAACATCAGTCTAACACCTCAATATAACCCAAAGAAAAGATTAGGGAAAAGACCAAAATACCCTTAAAATTTTCGGACTAAACAAACTGCACTGTGCGACTGTGCGACTGTGCCAACAACCCAACTTCCAAAGGGCATAAGTCACTCATACGAACTCGGAATCAAGCAAACTCGGCGGCGTTGGAAAGATCATTCCAAGGGCTTTCCAGACATAACTGGAAATTCGCCTAAATCATTTTGAGCTAGGAGATACGACTGCTCAAAGTTGACCAAAAACTCACCTTTTTTCCATAGCCAAATTTTCCAGATTCTTTCCAAAATGACTATTTCCAATTCAACTCTTCTTGGAACTCAATGTGCTACACCTAGGGACCTTAACTTAACACTCAAGAAATTTTTTATTCCTCGGTAAAATCCCACTCCACATGAAGGATGGCTCGAGTCTTAGTTCGAAAATTCTCTGGGGTGTTACAGTTATAGCCTTCATTCCCTCGATTCGACGGTCCTCATTCTCCCTCCTCTTAGCAATGATCTGTCTAGGTCTACTTGTTCAACACATCATTTAATAGGAAATAGTTTGATAAAAACTCTATATCACATCACTAATTATTTTCTTAATAAGTGTGTCAAGTGTGTAACAAGTAAAATGAACGGAGAGTACATTTTCAATTTAATTTTTTTTCACCTTTTCAATTTAATTTTCTACTTGTGCCATATTTGACATAAAATTAAATAACTAGTATTTAGCAACATAAAAATCGACTAATCATCAACCACCCTCTCCCTCTAAAAAGAAAAAAGGAGATATTTTAAAATTATTAATGGGTATACTTATTAGTACAACACGTTATATCCACCCACCATCAAATTCCTATGTCATTAATTAATTCTCACATTCAGTCTTCAGCCACATGGCAAGACCCTTCTTTTAATAAATACAAAAAATCCGCGTTTTCACACGGCTTAATTATTCTTCAACGATACGTTTTATATTTTAATGTTTTAAATACTTCACGTTTCTCTCCTTAATTTAAAATGTGAATAAATTAGAGTGATTCATTTCTTGATTTTGATCAGGAAAAGAGAAAGTTCTAATTAAACAATAACATAATTTAAATATTCAACTATTTGAATTTCTATTAATCATGCCGTCAACTTTGTTGGATATTGAATACTATTGACTTGGAGCCTTGTAAATTTTCAACGTTTTGTTTGTTTGTTAAAAGAAAAAAGAAAGACATTTATAACAACCCTTCGTTTTGTCTTGCTAGGAAAATTTAAGTTGATGATTAATTTTGTAGAAGATCCAACAAAACCTCAAAGCAACTGAAGAAGAGGTTGCACTCGTTGTGAGACATAAAACCTTACGGCCTACGACACGAGGACGACAATCATGTACCACCGGTGTAATAGAATGTTTTGTTAGTTTAAGCTGCCAGATTGCTACATTTTTCCTTTTCATTTACGAAAGAAAAAATAATTCCCTCTTTATAAATAAAAAATTCAAAATTTAGATATTTTTCATTAAAAAGGAATCATACAAACTATGAGGCACGTTAATTAATTTGGATTCATGAAAAAACTAATCTGAGTGCATTCAATAGTAATGTGTTAATAGTAGTGAAAAAGAATCATAAAATGTTATAGTATTGATGTATATTATGTCGTTCAACGATACTTTTGCTTTTTACGTAACATTGCAACTTATTGGACTGGGTTTACAACATAAAGAAAGAATCTGGGCTTATAACAGTTTGATACATATGAGATTATGGGCCTTGAGTGGGCCTGTAAACAGTTCATATTCCTATTTTAGGTTACCAGAGAAAATTGTATAAATAAAAAATTATTAATTCAAATTAAATGTTATAACCATAGTTTCATTTAAGAAAGAACTACACAACCACACATACATCACTACCATTAGGGGTGTTTACAATTTGGGTAAAAACCGATCCAAATCAAAAAACTGAACCAAACCGATTAAATAAATCAATTTTTATTTGGGTTAGGTGTGATTTGGTTTTAAATTTTTTAAAACCGATAGTATATGAGTTGGTTATGGTTTTGTTCGAAAAAAACCGAAAAAATAACCGAACGAGCCAACAAATTATATACATACATAATATATTATTTTTATAAACAATTTTAAAGATCTTATATGCGTTTTCATCAAAATTTATTTATAATTTACATATCAAAGAAAAAATATCCAAGGTGAGAATATTTATCTTATTGGTTTTATGTATATGAGTGTGTCTATGACAATTCTTTATAAGATTGAAAATATCACTTTCTCTTTCTTCTAGGCTAAGATAATGAATTTTGAAGCTTTATTCATAGTAAATTCAATGATTGAAAGTTTTGTAATGTTAGTCATTGTAACTATTTTTCGTTTTAGATGGATTGTTGTCACTTTTCACGTTTTGAATAAATTGTTTCTTTTATGTTTGTCTATGGTTAATAACCGAATAACCAAACCAAACCGAACCAAAACCGATAAATATATACTATATTTAGTTTGGTTTGGTTTTGATAATTTTAAAGCCGATTAAGTTGGTTTGGTTTTAATTTTGACCAATAACCGATCCAAACCGATCCGTGAACATCCCTAACTACCATATATATTATATTTATCTCTAGTTTAAAATAATCACACATATTATCACTTTTAATATCTATACCATATATTTTAAAAGATTTATTAAAATACACAAATTCCTTAAATATAGTATTGTATAATTATTTTAAATTTTAAATAGTAAGTTAAGCCTAAAATCTAATTTAACATATTATTGAATAAAGGGTGCAATGAAAAGAAAGTGGAGTAATTGTACACGCATGGTTGAAGGTTGTATTTTCAACTCTGAACACTGTCGACTTTAGTGTCTCAAATTCGAATCCAAACAATGACCTTGATCTTCCCGCCCAAAAAAACATCCTCCTTTTTGTCTTAAACGGCTCAGAAAGGGCCACGTATGTCTTCATCCACGTCAACCCAGAAAGTTCTGTGGTGGCCACACGTGGACATGAAACCCTACTTAGCTGTCCACGAACCACAAACTTTTCTATTTCTCAATAGCACCTTCCAGACTTGCCTTTTAAAAATTGAAGTGTACGCTACCTCAACTCCTCCTTTATATACGACACTTGTTTCACACGTTTTTCATATTCATTCGACAATTATTTCTTCCCCAAAATATATTATTACTACTTCAAAGAATATTTAGTATAAAAAAAAATGGAGATAAAAGAGTACGAGGATGTTACGATGATGGAAGTAGTAGTAGTAGAAGCAGAAGAAGAAGGATGTTCGACGCCAAAACGCGATGATTGTCAAATTCCGGCGATGGTGAAACCACCTCCGCCGCCGAGGAAGAAGCGGACGTACGACTGCGGTGGAGATAAAAGGAAGCCACCGGAAAATGGGTATTTTCAGGCGCCTGAACTTGAACTTTTCTTCGCCATGCAACCTAGATGTACTCAAGGGACTTTTGCTTAGTTATTTAATTAATTAATGCTTATATAGATTAGTGTATTATGTATATAGCTCCTCCTAATCCGATGTTAAACTCCAAAGTCCCCACTAATTGGCTGGTTTAATTTTTGTTTAGCCAATTAAACGTTTTGTTATTTTGTTACTAGTACTAGTGGTAATTACTAGGAGGTGCATGTGTACATACAAAATATGGGTGCTAATACTTTTCGTAGTTAAAATGCTTTAAGTCTTGTTCAACTTTCCTGGTTGGGTGATTTTCACTTTCCATTATCTTAAATTTAATTCTAACACTTGAACAAATACAAGTATATATCTATTGAGCCGAAAACTCTCGAAAACAAAAGGTGGTGCGCACATTCGACATTTTTCATATTTCATTAATTAATAAAAATATACTATTGAATATATTATTATGATATTTAACTACTATTATCTAATTTAATGGAGGAATAAGTAATTTTGAAATGAAGAGCGATTTTTTGTTTCTTAGGACCTAACATAAGAATCTCCTAAGAAGTTGGACTCTTATTCTAAGTGAACCATAAAGAAATAGTTATGGGGTTAATTCTTTTCAGAAAAACATAAAAGAGCAACAGAAAGCTAGGTGGTTTGTAGTAAAAAATGTTGGGCAAATTACAGAAATTACACTTTTAAGGTAAAATTATAATTTATCCCTTAAAAGTTTATAATTATAGAAATTTTTCAAACGGATACAATAATATAAGCGTTGATACATTAATCTGATGCGCGAGATACATTAATCGTTAAGTAAGATACATTATATTTTATACATGATACACTAATCTGATGTGCGAGATACACTAATCTGATGCGCGAGATATACTAATTTGATGCGTGAAAATGAGCTATTTTGGAGATTTGTAAAACTTATAGGGGATAATGGTAAGTAAACTAAAAGGCGGGATTTCTGTAATGTTTCCAAAAATGTTCATTCGGTTTAGAGGGTGGCCCAAGTAAAATTGGTTGGCTATTGGGCCACTGTTAACATGCTAATTTTATGTTGGGCCTTCATTGAGTTTTGATAACGAGTCAAGTTAGCTAAGGTAAAACTTTACAAAACCTTACTCATGCAATTATTTGCCAAACTCCTGCAAAAGTTCAAATATGGTCTAATTTATGTTAATATTTATGTGATTATTATGTAATAGGCGGTTGAAAATATTCCATCAAATATGTCTGTTACGTATGATTCCTTTAAACAATGCGTCAAAAGAAATTCAAAATTTTAGACGCAAGTGTTTTTTATTCAATGTTTAATTTAATGTATTCAATTATAGCAGAACACTGTTCATGTAAGGGATTATTCATGTATTCAGTTTAACCTATTTCTTTCATACTGTGTGGAAGGGATGACAAGTCAAAACTCAAATATCTTAAATATTTAATATTGTCCGAATCTAGGTTTTTTTTTTAAAGAAAAAAAAAATACAACTTCCAGAAGTAACCGATGAAGCTCTATCATTTTAATAAATTTTGACCAAAAAAAAAGAAGTGTATTAGCAATATTTCTTTCAAAGGTGTCATGTGGTCCTTCCCTTTCAGATGCAATTATTCCAAAATCACATGCCCTCTCACAAATTTATACTACTACCTTAGAATAAATATTAATGTGTGGAAGATGCATTGTATTGTTTTAATTTTATCTTTATATAATTTACCTTTCGTACAGGCCATGTGATTCTGCAAAACTTTGATCAATTTAGATTTTCAAGTTTGACCCAACTTTCTACTTTCTTTGACCACACTCATTTTTCAGTCACTTGATTCCCTTACTAAACTGATCAGTAATTATCAATGAAACTATAGTGTAAATTATCTAATATACACAAAATATTCCCTTTTGTCCTGAAAATGAATATTATCATTATTATAATTACTCAATATGTACCGATATCTTTTTAACGATAAAAAGGGAAAGCATAATAATGAATGAGACAGAGAGAGCAATAGTTACTCTTTTTAAAAAATATTGTGGTATCAAACTAAACCTACCAACAATATATCAAAATGTCATTAATCTTGTGGTCTTAAATACATCATATCAAAAATTAGAGTAAATAAATTGTCATAAAAGGAAAAAATTATCTTTATTATGTTCGTACAATAAATTGCCCGCAATATTTCAAAGTGACCATAAGGAATATAGTGTAATGATGAATTTCCCCATCTTTAAATAAATATTTCAAATTTAAACTTTGAAAATAAAGCAATTTCTAATAAGAAAAATTTTATATGACACGAATTTGAATTAGCAATTAAACCTCCCAAAAAAAACTGCAATATCTGAAAGTCTGCTGCACAGAAGACAGTCGAAACCTTATAAATTATTATACAATCAGCATTGGATTCATATATATTATACAGTCAAAGCATTCATGGGAATGATAAATTCAGTAGCAGCCATGTATTTCAACCTCGTCTCTCATTCACATCTTCATTTCACACTAAGGGAGGTATCCTCGGACAGATGCGGATTCAAAATTTTAGCTTTATTACTTTAAATTTTTAAAGGTTTTCGCCTTAAATTCAATATATTTACTAAGTTATAGGTTCACATATACTTCGTATATATTATTTATTAAAATATGAGTAATTTTTTACACATAAATTTATATTGTGCATTAAAATTATTGAATTTAGATAAATCCGATATCTCGAAGCTCCATCTATCAGTTCCTCTGAGTACAACGTAACGGATACAAACACAGCATGTTGTCCCTGTCTTTTTCCACTCTTCTTATAATTTCTTATTCTGAACAAATATATGAGGTAGTGATATTTGAAATCTTTACTATATAGTTTTATATATTCAATGTATGTATGTAGAATCATTTAATTCAATCTAGTTCCAAGAAAACTGAATAGTTCACATAGATTAAAATTGCTCCTTTACATGAAACGTAGTTATCAATATATGCTATAACAGATGTGAAGCCCATCCCCCCGCCCACTATAGATAAAAGGAAACCAAAGTCAATTTTTGCAACAGTTACTGAAACTACTTTTACTAAAGTCTAGCAACAATATAATTGCCAGTGATCAGAACCAGTCGTGCACATATGGGGTACTGCATCCAATCACGTTTATTTTTCACTTTACTTCTCAATTGAGTTGAAATAATTGAGCCGAACATCTATCGAAAATAACCTCTATTAAAGGGTGAGATCTGTATACATCATCATATCATCCTTATACACAATTTATGAAATTATACTGACTATATTGTTATTGTTGTAATTGGGTTGAAAGAAGTTCTTAAGTTGGTTATTTGAAAATGTCTAGACAATTTATTTATTTAGCGACATGTAATTAGATTTAAACTTCAAAAAATAAATTTCACGTGATTGTTTTTTGTGCCTGTAAAAACTTTGATCCATGGAATTACATACTCTATACTAGTTGAAAGTATTGAATTATACGAGAGGTATGTGCAAGCTAACACGAACATCATAACTATTATTCCAACGATTAAATGTGGTGCAAACTAAAAGGTTCTTGACTTTTTGGAAAATTCTTAGTGCAAAATTCGAAGAGAAATTAATATGCTTGTAATAGTATATTTAAGCATTGGATACTCCAGTACTTTAAATGGAATACTGAAATCTAGCAGGGAGTTTGTGACAGGGAAGTCTGACTAAGAAAGAAGAAATAAATAAATAATATAAAAAAAAGCATCTCACAGAACACAGAAATCACCACAGTAATTGACCAATTGTCTATCACACAAGTGAAAAAAACTGCAAAATCTTTCAATTCAATTATTTAATAACCCTACCGACCATTTTGCGATATGGGTTTCGAATTTCAACATCATTATAATTTCTAGGATAATATTATATACTATCAAATTATATTAAAATCAGTGTCACATTTTCCATCTACCATCAAACACTTCCTCGTGAGTATGTGTGTGCCCTTGCCTAGGGTAATTTTGGTATAGATTTGATATTTATTTTAAGAAAAAACTCATTTTAGGCAGCTAGGTGTGAGGTAGACGTATATCCTAATACAAGTTTTATTAGTTATTTTTATGATTGAACTTACAACTTTTATAAGTTACATGAAAATAATTGTATAGTTGCATCAAAGTTTTTCTTATAGAAATTCATTTAATGAAAATGATTTATTAAAATTTAGAATACAGTAATTGTAACGACATGTTCCCGTCATTATAGAAATGTCAACGGGGTAAAATTTAGGACCGGAAAACTTTTTCGTAGTATTTGGATTTTTCCAACCTAATCCAGATTTGGACAAAATCGGAAATTTTAAGGTGTAGGGAAATATGGTAACAACCGGGTGAGTTAATTATGATTTTGATTACATGAGTAGTTAGATAACTCATTAAGGAATCCGTACGACTTTACAGAATTGAATTCGGGCGAGTAGAACTTTCAAAATCGATTTTAGCGTAAAGGGTATTTTCTGAGCGTCGTTGGTTAGAGGTGTGTTGTGAAATGGGGATTTTGGAATTCTTTAAATAGCTCTCTGTTTCGTGCAACCTGCCTTGGCGGGGATTTTGGTCTCTTTGGTGGGCCGTTGTAGCAGGGTGGTGGCCGATGTGGCGGGCTAGACGCGACTTAAAGTCGTAAATAAACCCCTAAACGATTTTATTTGGCACTTTTCAATTTTGAGAGCTAAGGAACGAACCCCAGACGACTCCTACTCGTTTTTCACCATTCTTGAGGCTAAATGTAAGCTTTTCACTCTCCGAAACCGTTTTTCGATCTATAGAACGTAATAGATGGGTAATTAATGATGGGGGAGGGTTTTGTTATAGATTCTATGGTGGAAACAACCCTAATTTGGATAATTGAGATCATGGATTTGATCTAGGGTTCATAGAATTGTTAGTAATTCGGGTAATTAGTGATTGTTTATTGATTCTCGTGTTATTATGATTGTTTGTAGACCAAGAACAAGCGGAACGAATTCGGAAAGGGAAGGATCAAGTTTTTTAGGGTTTCAAGCTTGTTTCGAGG